ATTGGCTTCCCAAGTGATATAATTTGAAGGATAGAAAAATATCTTGAAAAGTTGTTCATACTGTTGGAACATGCCAATTCAATCATTTTTAAAGATTATAAGCAAATAATGACGTCTTTTAGTCTTACTCCAAAATGCTCTCATCTTAAAGGGCCCATGTCATGCTTTTCCGGTTATTACCCGTCCCCTTGTGTGTTATGAAGGTTTTTCTGCATGTAAACGGTCTGCAAAGTCACAAACCCTCAAAGTACACCCTGTAGCGAGTAAAACTCTAACACAGAAAAGACGTGTCTATGCTGCCCCAGAACGCCTCGTTGGAGATTTCTCTTTTTCCATTGTTTTCTTCCTGGGTACAGTGACGTGCCCATACCCAAATGACCCATTGGTCCAAATGGACCAATCCGTGGAGCCGTTACGTTACGTCCGCGGAGCCGTTACGTTAAGTCCGTGGATTTGTCCAAATTGACCAATCGGCAGATTTCCTCACACACACACACTCAATCTTTTCTCAGCTGCAGCTCCACCGATTTCTCTTCCCTGAGACGGCGGGACGCGGCGAGGCTGTGAGTCGGTGTGTGAGCACACACACAAACTCCCAGCCAGGCTGCGGGTGTGTGTGTGTGTTCGGGCTGGTTTCGGGCTGGGTTTCGCTGTCTCGCAGACGGCCACTGGGCTCATAGAGAGGGGGGGGGCAGGAGCTCCAACAAGCCGTGTAGGACAGAGAGTGAATACACACACTATACAGAGATGCTGTATGAGAAACCAATGAGATTTTGGAAAATTGCACAATATAAATCTATTTTAGTATACCTCAACAATGGAATTATGATCAGTAGAAATGGCCATGACATGGGACCTTTAAAGCTGCACGTATCAGTATTTTTATGTTAACAATAGATAAAAGTAAGAGGTGAGGCTTGATTGACAAACCCACTGTAAAGCACAAACGGCAAACACTATCATACAGCAGCCAAACACACAGATATTATTCTTTAAGTTGCTGGAGAACTGTACAAAGCTAAAGGGAGTTATATTGGACTTATATTTGTTAGCTGGACAGAAACACGCTACAAACTAATGCAGATATTTGTTATTTCACTGACTTTTGCTAACATGTTTAGCATAATCATTTTCAAGGTCGCTATGGTAAATGTTTCAAGACGGGCATGATTTGGAAAAAATTACTAATAATAAAAATGTTCTCACAACTAATATTTCCCCCTCCGATTTGGATATTGCACTTGGCAAAATTGCGGTTTAGATACATTTCGATTAATTGTGCAGCCATAGTTCAAGTTTACCATTAAATCCATCACATCTGTTTACGTCTTTTTAATGGCTGGTGCAGCTGCAGCCTGCATGTGAGTGCGCTCTGTTAGGCTAGACTTTCCTCTTCACTTCCTGCTGTTTGTTAAGTTGAGTTTGCATTGACACTATCCTACCAATAGAGCAAAGCTAACAGGAGAAGCAGGCGACCCCCCCCCCCCCCCCCCCTCTCTCAGTTTAGATAACCTCCCCTCTTCTTATGACTGAGGAGAAGGAGCTTCATACAGCTGTGCTATTTCATCATGAAACAGCTTTGTGTGGACGTGTGTATGCGTGCTTGACCTCTGACTCCAAACAGTCCGATATACGTTTGAGTTTGTGGAGAGGCAGTAGAATACACAGAGATACAGTGTGTATTTAACTCTCACTGGGACAGAATATCACCTATAACTGAGCAAACACACGGGCACACTGAGGAGTTAAGAAGGTAAAGAGGTGAATCCACCAGGGTTGGATCCACGCTGCTATGGGCTGATGGAATACACAGATGTTATGAATGGATGTTCTCCCCCAGCAGGTGGCTGATTTAGAAGAAGATAAATGGAGAATCCATAGAATGGAAAGAAAAATGTAGCAGGTGCACTGGCAACATTTAAAAGTTTGTCCCCTGGAAATGATCAGCAAAGATCTCTGTAGAAACCTTCCAAAGAGAAGCTTCTCATGGATGTTAAGGAAACTTCTGGAGCAACGACTCGAAACACAAGGAGAACACGGGAGAGCTCGACAATTCAATTTATTGAAAGTTATGGCCGGAGAATTGACCAAGACATGTGCTGCAGCCACAAGGCTCCTGCCTCACCAATTCTGAAGCTCTCTCACCAAATCTCAAGTATTTATCTAGCTCTAGACAAAACTATTCTCAAGGGAAGAGAGAAATTGGCTCCCCAAGGTTGCATGCCCGAACGCTGACGACAGGAGAGAGTGATAAACTGGGTCAAAGGCAGAGGCCTTGGTAAATGTTTCCCCAACTATGGACACGACTGACTGTAGCCTTACAAATAACCAACCTGACGAACCATTAAAAAACGCAAATTAATTACATTACCAAGTTTGTCCCAAAGATGCTCCTGTAACACCAACATGGATGTGTACCATGAATTACATGGCTATTAGCGAATTAGCCAGCCTGAGCTACATATTTTGCACTGAGTGGAGACATCTGGACATCAGTAGGAACCATCACTACCTCACTGTAACGGCACACCTGCATAGTTTGCTCTAGGTGTGGTGAAACAGAGGAAAGGCATTTTGCTGAACCAGTTTGTTGAAGTTACACAGGAGTGGGAAATAGTGGACAGGGTCTCCACTGTAGGAACAGATAGAGCTGCAGTCTGAGAGCAGGGATAATATGCTGTGTGTAGCTCACCTTACACAGAGGGAGGGCCACAGCTGCTTTGTCGACGCTTTAGCTAAGTGTCTGAAGAACAGCTCGATTCTTGGCAATCATTTTATAATAAAGTCAAAAACCCTCTGTTTTCTCTCACTAGTTCTTTTATCACAACACCACCATGTCTTTGTTTTATCTCCCCCAAAATACTAGTTAATACTAGTATTTAATTGATTACAGATTATTATTGTCAATAACGGAATTATACATTTTTAATCAATTGACAGCCCTAATTTAAACATATTCAAACTTTTAATTTGATACATTTCATCCACAATATAGTAACCTAAACATGTAGCGCTGTCTGCCCATACCTGATAAGAGATATAAAGGCAGGGCTCTCTGACTTTTTATCTCCTTGATCTCTCATACCAGAGACAGTGACGATGCAAAAGTCATCTGTGAGGCCATCGACTTATCTGTGAGGCCATCGACTTATCTTTGGATAAAGAAGTTCACTGCATGCCCTTTTCAAGACAAATGCATGGGGAAAGATTGTGGCTTACAATGCGACTGCATTTTGTATTCTCTTCTCCTTGCCCAAGCCTTTTAATGAAACCTCAATTGTTGTAAGGCATCAGTTCCAGTCTAGCATCTTCAGTCAATGCTCCAGAAGAATTTCCTTCACAACTTTAAAATACTTAAAAACCTAAATAATTTAAACCGGTAGTTCTAAATGAAGCGGGATTCTGATGTCTCTTCCTCGTTAATATTTGTCTTGTAAATGTTTGGTAAACTACTCTGGTCAGTGTTGGTCACATCGGGTCGGGGTAGTGGTGGCATCAGATTTTCAAAGGCTGTGTGATGGTGTATCTGAGGTCTTTCTAGGACAAGCAGCTGTCCTTTCCTCCAACCAAACACTCCTCCAAGGCCTTTCATGAGACACGAGCCAGATGCTCAGACGTTAATCACAGCATTGTGTGTGTGTGAGTGTGAGACTGTGTGTGTTTGGGGAGGCTGCGCTCTTTGTCAAGTAAATGTTTACTGTGTGTTTGTGTGACTACTGCATCCCTCACACCAGAATGGGAGCAGACAATGGAACGTTGGCACAGAAAGCAGAGTAAAAGGAAGATTTATATTCAGTGTAAATTTACTTGTCCGAATACATTTTTCACTTGTCCAATCTGGACATGCCTGTTTTTCTTTTTCTAAAATTATTTGACATACCCCTTTTCAGGCCCATCAGTACATAAATGGTAGGGTCCCCTTTCAAGCCCTTAATCCACTGTTTTCTGACAGAATTGATTTCAATGTTCTAACCCTGAACACACCATTTCACCATCGACATTTTTAAATTGTATTTAAAGAAAAAGCCCTAACTAAACAGCAGGGCTCTATTTCAGTATTAACTAAAGAAAGAAAAACAGCAACAGCTGACATCAAATCTTTGCTGAGCCTAAAGATAATCATAAATAAATAACATAGTGAAAATAAATATATTGCAATGCTCAAAACAGCAGCATCCAACCGTCTCTAATCATAATACAAATAAATGTATTGCAATGTGCAAAACAGCAGCATCCAACGGTCTCTAATCCTTGGATATTACATGTCACTGCCTGCATGCACGGAGCACCTGTAGCGCGGAGATCATCATATCATTCTGTCTTGTATTACTTGACAAAAACAAAAAAACGGTTCGTTCGCGGGCGCGAGCCGGCTCTCGTCGTTCACTTAAAAGAGCCGGCTCTTTGAAGGAAACGTAAAGCGGTCGCAAACAACAATGGCGGACACGGACAATTTGCGAATGAGTTCTGCCTTTTGTAAGCTGAATTTATAAATAAGTTGTCAATAAATATGGGCGAAAAACGTCACTTGAAAGATGTACCAGTCCGATATTGTAAATAACACGTCCCGGACAATCGGACGTGTGCTTTTTCGCACACTGTATGTTAAGGAAGTGTTTAGTGAAAGGGAGGCAGGAAGAGAATGGGGATGTGAGGGAGAGAGGGAGCTGGAGAGGACACTTTTTATTCCCTCCATCTGAGAGCTTTTCGAGCCGGCACACGAGCCCCTGACCTTCTCCCTCACACACACAATGGTCCTGCTTTATGTTCTCTGCTGCAGCTCCAGGCCCTGTGTGTGTGAGAGTGTGTGCATGAGGTTTTGCATGTTTTATTGTGTGCCTGCTTGTAGTTGAGCTTATTCATGCATGCACATAACATGTGGCCAGCAGGCTGCCTTCATCTTCTCATCTAAAAATGTTTCATTGCTCTGCCATAACATTTACAAATAAATAGATTCATGACCTTTTTATGTATTGTAACATTTGTGTGTGTGTCCTCAGGGGAATCTGGTCTGGGGAAGTCGACACTCATCAACTCTCTGTTCCTGACTGACCTGTACTCCAAGGATTACCCGGGGCCCTCGCAGCGCATCAAGAAGACTGTGCAGGTGATTATTTCTCTTTAAGGACCTTCACATCGGGCGTCTCACCTGATTTTCAGGTTAGGCTTCATCACGATACAGATAAGGCTGTAAGAAGGTTAAATGTTCCGATATTTCACCACACCCAGACATCCTCATAATACACTTTTAAACAATGGCTGAAACTTAATTAAGTAATGCAGTTATTGATGCGCTGTGATGACCTCACAGAAAATAAACAATGTCATTTCTGCAGCACAGATTCAATGCCTAGTCCGTTGTTTGCAACACTTGCACATGGACAGTTGTTATTTGTTTCATGTATTGTATAATGTGTAAATGTATATGTTCTCCATGAAGTAGAAGGGACCTATATAAAGTGGTTCAGGAATGAGTCCTAAACCCGAAAAGGAGTTAGCATTTTACAGTTTGGTTAGAGGCCTGAATAAGGTCTGTGGTTAACACAAGCTGAAGAGATGTTAACGTTTTGTTCCAATACGTCATTAAAAACTCTACACGTTAAAGTTCTGAACTTCTATGCTATCTAAAAACAGCGGTTGCTAACAAATGCGAACATTTAGCCGCCTTTAGCTTAGCAGTGGTGACGTGATGTCATGTGACTGTAATGTTTATTTATAACCAAACTTTTTTTTAAACGTTTTACTTCTGCCGATTGCATTTATGCTTAAAAAATCATAAAGTGGTGTTAATATGTGGATATTATCCTTCCAAAGAAAACGTGTAGATGTCTTTGCCGTGTATTTACCACCAATCTTATTTTCTGCAATATACTCAAATCCAATGGGAAATTCCTTTGCTTTTTGACGAGGTAGCCCTTTTAATGCTAACTTCTGGGTCGGCCTACAAAAATGCGTCATCACTGCACCACTCTTCAAAAATAGTATACCCAGCCTTCCCTGCCTAACCACAGCCATGACAATGATCTGTCATGAGATATCTACGAACATTTGGGAAACATGCATTTCTGGATATAACATGTCTGTTACCTGACTCTTCAGACGCCACCTTTGTCTGAACGACACGTTCACTCCGCAGACCTGACCCACAACCTTTGTTATCTCGCCTCAGGCAAAGACGGGCTGACCTCTCCATAACATGTCCCACATTCCTGCTGCTCTCACAAACATATACACAAGTGTTTGGAATCACATCATGTGGAAGATGTAGCCCGCTGGTCAGTGTAGTAATGAGATACTCAAAACTTTAGTGTGGGAGAGAAACTCCCTCCTGAGGGACACCAATTGACACCATGCACAAAAACCTATAGAACACACTAAAAGAGAGGGAAAACCCCAAAAAACAGGGGCCTCTTTAAAGGTAATAATGTACACTATAAAGTGTATACAAATGAATATTAGGCTTCGAAGCATCATTGGTTGGAACAGAGGTTAAAGCACATATAGATGAATAAATATAGGAAGCAAGTCATGGAGTCTTCTGGAGAGGAAGAAGAGGTAGGGGTTGAATAGCATAGGAAAAGCAGGGTGAGAATAAGGATGGAGGATCTAAGAGGGAGACAGCAAGGCCACAGGGCCTGGTTTTATCCTTTTATGGTCATGACAAAATAAGAAGGGGGCAGACTACATCTGGAGCAGCGGGGAGCAGAGAGGAAAGAAACGGTCTGTAAAAAGGGAGAATGGTTGTGAAGGAGAAAGGGAAAGAAGGAAATAGAGGGTTAAAGAGTTGTTGGACATGAGCAATGCAGCCAAGAGGAAGAGGAGGGATGCAGGAGGAAGAGGAGGGATGCAGGAGGAGATGGACAGAGAAGCAGTGAGAGAGTCTGAGGACTTAATGAGAGGTGACCAAGGAGACTCAAAGAAAAACAGAGTCATTGCATTCGCCCTGGGGCCTGATGGGGTTAGTAGCAGGGCAAGAATGTTCCCATGAAACCTAACACACACGCATACGCACACACGCGCACATGCATACGCACACACACGCACACAGCTAAACGGTTGAAAAAACATAATCTTCTCTTTAGATGGTTCATATTTTTTTTAAATCATAACTGCACTTTTGTCAAATGTTTTTGTAGAAGGACTTGTGGTGTTTGCAAAACAAGCATCACCCACACACATCCACAACACACTCCTTGAAGCCAACTCTTTAATTTGCTTTTGGTTAGGCAAAAGTGTTTCTGTTTAGGAAGAGGAGTGATAAAGATCTCTCAGAATCAAGATTGTTGCCGGAAGTCCCCACGGAGAATAACTTTGTGGTAGAAGTATTCTTTATACACCCATGGGTACAACTTCAGATAAAAATGAACACATAATGAAACCCGGTTTGATGATTGACAGGTCACAGAACAATGGGGGCTATCTACCCTTACCCACAATTGAAAGTAATTCACACAGACTCTCTCCTCTTTGCTCTTCTCTCTGTGTGGAGCAGCAAGTTCAGCTTCAGAACAAAGTGAAACACAAACAATGGCATCAAATATTATTAATATGTCGGGTAGTAATACATTTATTTATTTTCTTCTCAGAGTGTACCAGAATGCGTAGTTTATATATTAGTATGTATAAAAATCTCCTGTGGGAGAATCCCCCCAGACCCCCTTCTGGGGTTGGGTTTTCAGCATGTGTGCCTTTTTATGTTATACAGTCCAGCTTTGATTCCATCATCTCATTAAACCTCTTTTAAAAGCATACTTTAGTTCTGGGATATAAGGGATATAAGGGATATATGCACTGTACTTCACTTTCATTAATATTGTATGCTGAAAAGCGTATAGATTACGGCACAATCTTTTGTTGAATAGATTTGAGTGGTTCAAAATTTCGGGTCGCGATTTATTGACAAAGGAAAAACGTGGGTCCCGAGGCCTGACCAGTTGAGAACAACTGCTCTAAATAATAGACCCTGCCTATATTTTTGTATGTTTCTTTTAAGATGTCTTCCTCTACCCAATGACTGTTGAGTGGGGCAGGAATGAGTCCCTAAACCCTGAAATGAGTTAGCATTCCACGGGTCATGCAGCAAGTCAACGCTTTTTGGGTTTGATCCCTAAATGAAAATCTATGGCTAACAAAAGCTGAAGAGATGTTCATGTTCTGTTCTATGAGATTAAATATGTAAGTATACGTCATTACAAGAGACTACTACACGCCATCACGCCAAACATTAGCCGCCTTTAGTTTAGCAGCAGTGTCATCAAGTCATGTAACCGTGCTATAGTTTGTTTATGGGCTAACGTTAGCTTTTTAACTTCTAGCATTTACCCATCTATAAACATAAAAGTTTTGTTACGATTACGTCACTTCCGCCGCCTAAAACCCAGGAGGTATACGATCTAGCACTACACACACACACACAGACACAGAGACACACACACATTTTGTCTAACCTGCTAACACAGTTCTGTGTACTGTTATGCTGTTATGTTCAGTCATCGTTCTTATGTTCAACATGAATACATTTCATGTACGTATTTCTTCTTTCATAGCTATTTTCCTTCATACTTTCTTGCCGTGAAATAGGTCTTAGGGTGCATTCACACCTAATAGTCCGTTTTCAGGTGTGCACCAGACCACAGTTTGTTACATTGTTTCATTTTTCAGAAGGTTCAGTTTGCGTTCACACGGGCAAAACTCAAACGGACTATTAACTTTAAACACAAGTCATGTGCACGGAAATGCTGTTCAACCATTGGTCAGACATTAAGGGGGTAAAAACGCAAATCCCGGCAATTTCTACCGGAGCCTCCGCCATGGAGCATCGGCACTTTCGACAGGTTATTCTCATGCTGCTGTTAATCTGGAGATCAACAGACTCTAGCGGCCCGCGCATATGATTATATAATCAGACAACGTCCGTTAAAAAACATTATAACATATCAATGAGAGACGTTCTGCAGTAAGGAGGGGCGTTTCACCGACGACAGGGGTTCTTAATTTGATGTAGTTGACGGAGCATTTTTACTTTACACGACACTGTTCAACACTTCATTCTGCTTCACTCTTTAACTAAACAACCGCGGATGTCTTGAAAGACTCTTTCGCTAAAGATTTTTGAAGACATCCGTGTTCTTGTGACACGTAAATACTACGCTTCCTATGTTTTGGTGCGGACTGCGTTCACACCAGCAATGAACCGCTCCAGAGTTCGCAAGCAAGCGTTCCGAGACCACCTATTTTAGCGGACCAGAGTCCGGTTGTTTAGTTCACTTAAGAGGTCTCGGACTGTGTTCACACCGACCCAAATGAACCGCACCAAGCGGCTAAACGCACCAGGGTGCATTCAATAGCCTATAAAAGGCTGGTGTGAATGCACCCTAACATTCTATTCAAATTGGTCTTAAAAAGGTCTTAAAAAGTCTTAAATTTGAGTTGGTGAAACCTGCAGGAACCCTGTAATATGTGGAGAGTTTTCTGTGGAGGAATTCTCCTTTGAGTCGAGGGAGCCATTGCTTTGCTAACTTCTGGTGGGGCCTACAAAAATGTGTCATCACTGCACCACTATATAGTAGTACGCTTTTAAGAGGGTCTTCAGATATACTTCTACTGAAAAATGTATAAAGTGAGGTCAATGTACTATGCAGGGATACAGTTTCTTAAAACATCATGTTAAATGTGATTTCCTGTCATGTATTTTTGTATTGCTGTTAGCACCACAAGCTAAATTCCAATTCACCTTCAGTGTAATGAAGTGCCAAATCACCAGCTATTAAGCAAAATGATCGACACGGTTAGACACCAGAAGATTTTTGCTTCATTAAAAAAAACTCTAAATTGAATGGTATGACTGTCCTTGTGCACTGTGTCCTGATGGATTTCAGAACTGGTCAGGTGATGTGGCTGATGCTTCAGTTTCAGCATGGGGCGAGACTGTTTTGGCGAGACTGAAAACATTTAGAACATTTTGCTCCCATCGGTCGGTCAAAAGAATCTCCGACCTCCTGTGAACCTCATGAGCGCTACGTGGGCATCCATGGGTCAGAGTATTTATATTCCAGAACAATCTCTCATGCTTTGTCGCTTACTCGAGTTCCCCCTAATCGGATTTCTTTTTAAATGATGGTGTTGAGACTGATGGCATGTTTGTGGTTTCCTCCAAATCTGTTTTTCTTCGCAGAAATGCTGGAAATAGTAGATTTGGTTTTGAGATGGCTGACATGACATGCACAGACACTTACAGTACAAACACACACTTTAACGCGCTGGGTGCACAATTAAGCTCAGTATGTCAAGCGGCTGCGGTGCGTGTTTTTATATATATATATATATATATATATATATATATAAATGTGCTCAGCTGTAAAGCAGACAGATTCTCTGAAGGCTTGTGAAAGCTGGATTCTGTTGTTTTAGAGAAAGAGGGCTGTAGTTTGATTTAAAGGGCCGGTCCTAAAATAACTAGATGGCCTTGTGAAAGTATGCGGTGAGGCGAGGGAGCAGCAAACAGGCTGCAGGAAATGATGGATCTGTGGAGCTGATGTGGAGACATGTGACTGAAGTGTGAGGTGGAATGGTTGGTCTGCTTTTTGTGTTTCAGGCTAAAGCAACAAGCAGAAATAAATCAGGCTGTTTTGGTATTTTAACAATAATATGTTGGATCTTAAATCACTTTAGCAATGTGTGCTTCTTTAAGTATACTGAGGCACTACAGAAAGAATAATCAGCGGAACAGTTTTACCTTTTTATTTTATGCCTAATATAAAGAATATTGGTTAGCTGAAATCTTCCTTGACTATATAGAGATGGTTGCAGATTTAAGGCCATTTCCCATAACCTAAATATTGACATTATGGTCACAATTTCAAAATGTATTATCAATTTTAGTTTTATGCATTTTCCTAGAGACACATTTCCTTTTTATGAAGTCATACCCACAGGCGACTATGAGGCAATGCGGTATTTTTCAATCACAAGGTTGTGGGTTTGTTCACAGACAACATGTATGTATCTTTGGGCAAAATGCTTCACCTTAAGTTGGCCAACGGTGTGTGAATGTTAGCTTCATTGAACATGTGGCAACTTGCATTGCAACGCTGCCTCTATATGAATGGGTGAATGTCGACTGGTAAATGTAAACACCTGTAAATAGGTGGATAAAGTGCTATATAAATGCAGTCCATTTACCTTTTACAGTCTGAAAATGAAGCAAGACTTATCTTTAGTATCTTCTTATCTTTCAACTGAATTTATATGTTTTGGGTTTAATAATGTGCTTCAAGAGATCAATTGCTGATGTTTCATCAACCATCTATCTACCGTCTACAATAAATACATCTCTGCCATCTCAGTCTTTTATTCATATCCAAAACAAAGTGTGCTTTTACCCAGCATCTTCAAAATAAATGACAGTAACTCCACTCGTATGCCCTGGCATTTCTACCAGTGGTAATCATTTCTCCTTTACCATAGCACCATCACAGCTCCACATATTACATTCCATTAGCAGACACTTTTATCCAAAGCAACTTACGAGTGCAATAAACCATCAAGATACAAACCATAATGAGTGCTGGTGCATTAGTGTCGAATGGGCTAAACACTTTAAGTGTTATGTTTTGTGTATGTTCTGGGTTTAAATGTCAGTGTACATCGTAACAGGTTAGCTTCTGTTTGCGGCGGATGATATGTTTTAGCTGCGGCAGGAGCACAGGCTTCGAGTGTCCTCACACACACACACTGATATTGGTATAACTGAATCTCCCAGCAGGCTGTGTGGGTGCATGATGTATCATCAGTGCTCAGAGTGGGAGAGGGTAGTGTCACATAATTAAACTAGCGGGTGACTGTGTGTGGGCACGTTCGTGTTAGCAAGTTGTACTGCATTATAAATTGAATATACACTGTTGACTCTGCACTTACTCAGATTTAGATGTGAGGAACAGGTTTTGATTCAAACTTGTATTGCACTTAATTGTGTTTATGTCTCTGTGTTTCAGGTGGAACAGTCCAAGGTGCTGATAAAGGAGGGGGGGGGTCCAACTGACACTCACAATTGTGGATACTCCAGGGTTTGGAGATGCAGTGGATAACAGCAACTGGTAGGAGCATCATCAAGGTGTATCCAAATGTTCTTTATGCTCATCTGATTGGTTTCTCTGACTGATATCTCTTATCTCCCAGCTGGCAGCCAGTCATTAACTACATTGACAGTAAGTGTGAGGACTTCCTGAACGCAGAGTCCAGAGTGAACCGCAGATCCATGCCCGACAACAGAGTGCACTGCTGCCTGTACTTCATCGCCCCCTCTGGACACGGGTAGGTCTGCATGAGATCAGGTTGTAATAAGATGAGGTTAATATGACCAAAGGCCCAACAGTATAAGGCAATGATAAGATAAATGCTCTTTTTGGCATTTTTAAAGTTGCATTTCCCTACATGTCGGTGCCAAAAGTAAATGCCATGTTGGAACTAGAAAATTATTTTAAAATATTTAAACCATATTGAACATGTCATTTTACTTTAAGCCCACATAATAAAATATGTGTAAAATATTAAGCTTATCCATTCATTCTATGTTTTTCTTGCAAAAATACCTTTGGGTTTTGGACTAATAACATATTTAAAGACATCAACTTGGATATTAAGAAACTGATGGCCATTTTTTTACAATTGAACTTTTTATAGATCAAACAATAAATCTATGAATCTAAAAAATAATCAGCAGATTAATCGATAATGAAGATAATTGTTAGTTTTAGAATTGATTGACAGTATTTCCTGTTGAAACATGACATAAGAGATCAATCTCATGTTTTTCCAATGTGCTTTCATCGATCTGTCAGTCATTCTAATGTACAGTGTGTTCAGCATACAGCATCCTCTGTCCTGAGACCAGGTAGTGCTAGGGCTGTGCGATTATGGCAAAAATCATAATCACGATTATTTGGGTCAATAATTGATATCACGATTATTAAATACGATTATTCATTGACTTTGAAAAAATCCATTTATTGAACTTTAAAACAAATACAAATAATAACATAAAATTCAACTGAAAAACCAATACAAAAATAAATGATACATTTAAATAAATAATATCAAAATAATAAATACCAATAAACAAGATCAACAAATATTTTGGAGCGCACTTCCACAAGCTACTAAACATATATAAATATGATAAATACAAATAAATGAGACCAAAATGAATTGGCTCAAATATGTTGCAGTGCACTGTCACAACCTAGCAAAGCTAAATAATTGTTTTTTTCGATTATGTTGTTTTCGTAATTGTGGCAGGCCAAAATCGTAATTGCGATTAAAATACGATTAATTGCACAGCCCTAGGTAGTGCACAAGGAAACACTCCTAAAGAAACCCCATAATTATCAGGGAAAACATTTGGGGAGGGATCCCTCTCCAAGGACAGTCAGACATGCAATAGATGTCGCGTGTACAGATTTAAAAAAGATACTATGAACATAGACGATAGAAATGTTAATTTGAACCTATATAAGAAAGATCAAGGAGAGTGTCAAAACTCTTCCATGTGCCACCCAAATATCTTGAGTTAGAAACATGCATTTTTGGGACATAAGTGCAAACAGATAAAGGAAAGAAGGACGGAAAAGAGGGCTGATAGAGGAAAGATGCAAGTTGAACGTCCTAACAGTCTATCACTCGACACCAGGTTGAGAATCAATAATCATGTACTAATTTATTCTTGCAAGAAGGAGCAGAGTTAAATCACATACAAAGGATATGGTTTAACTCACACACATGGGATATGTTGCTCAACGGAGCAGGAAAAAACATCAGGCTTATATAGTCCAAAATACAGGAGATAACAACAAAGTCGTAAATCGAGGTGGCGCTAATATCAGCCGCGGGTGTCGGAAAAGCGTCGGGTCATCTGTGACGTCTTCTGGACTTCCTTCACGCCTCATAGAAATTAGATATGTAGGAGACAACAAGTATGTGTCTGTCTCCTCATAAAGATCAACAACCTGAAATGCCCTGCCTCCTCCTATCATAAAGAGGCAGCTGCAAGGTCGTACACAGTTCAGAGTCACACATGATATCAGTGCATTAAAACAAACCCAAAGAGGAGACAACATTTTCTCCAACAAAGCCTATAGCAGCTTAAGTAGGGGTTGGTTCTAAGCAAGCCAGAGCCAGCCCTGACTATGAGCTTGGAACTATAGAAAGAAGGTATGATTTGGTTGGTCAATAATCTCCCTGAGCCAGCCTGTTATATTTGAAAGGTTTTATTAACAAACATTCATCTGTATTGGTGTAAAAGAAGTTCAGTTAGATAGAAATCATGCAGCTTTTAAGATAAAAACCTGCAGCCCCTCTGAAGTGAAAGGGTTTATTCAGCCTCCATCGTGTGTGTGTGTGTGTGTGTGTGTGTGTGTGTGTGTGTGTGTGTGTGTGTGTGTGTGTGTGTGTGTGTGTGTGTGTGTGTGTGTGTGTGTGTGTGTGTGTGTGTGTGTGTGTGTGTGTGTGTGTGTGTGTGTGTGTGTGTGTGTGTGTGTGTGTGTGTGTGTGTGTGTGTGTGTGTGTGTGTGTGTGTGTGTGTGTGTGTGTGTGTGTGTGTGTGTGTGTGTGTGTGTGTGTGTGTGTGTGTGTGTGTGTGTGTGTGTGTGTGTGTGTGTGTGTGTGTGTGTGTGTGTGTGTGTGTGTGTGTGTGTGTGTGTGTGTGTGTGTGTCCCACAAATGTTATATAACCCATTTCTGATCATGCTCAGTAGAGTTCTGCTCTCCATCACTGAATCGACCAATCAGAGTGGAGCAGCCCACAGCCAAGCCTCTCATCTCAGACAAACACACTCTCTCATCTCACAGTGTGTGTGTTCCCTTGGCATCACTAGAACATTCCCTGCTGGTCAGTACTGCTGCAGCACCCGCCTTGGTTAAAATGTGGAGTGATGTCTCCACATATCCCAGAATCCACCCATCTACTGCGGCTCAGTGATGGAGAGCTTTGATCCACTTAGATTGTGATCTCTGTAGTTTATAATGCTCGCTGAATGCAAGGTGTCTAAAATGTAATTCATTTAATAGCCAGAAAAGATGTGGATTGATGCTTTCTATTAACCTGTTGAACCCCTTCGACCCGCCCCCGGGCGCATAATCTGCATATCCATGTAACGGGAAGAAACTCAGCTAAATGATGATGTGAACCATTTTTAGCAAAAAAAAACGCAAGGCTAACGCTGAGCCTCTGAATTAGTCCTGAGCAAAAAAATGCTAACGCCGTTTGCACAGAAAACACGGTATAACACAACGGCAATATGTCTTACCTTTGTCGTTGTCTGATCAAAAGTTGTCTTCAATGGCATTAAATCAATAAAAACGCTGCTGAAGGTTAATCCATAGGTTAATCCAATGTGTCTGTGTCACTTTGAAATGATTTCTGATAATCCATAAGCAATAAACCTACTTTTCCGTTTTCAGATTTCAGAGCGTGAGATAGGTTTCGATTTGGGGAAACTGCATGCGCATAGCCCCCACTTTTTTTTGGTAACGTTGGTGTGTATGTGGAAATTCCCCTTCGATTCTATTGGCTCTAACGGTTAAAAAGAGATGTCAATCATCAAAATCGACCAATGGGTTCCAGAGAAACGGCAAAAATGCCCATTTCCACCCAAATGACCCCAGAGGTGGAGTTTTTTTTGCTAAACCTCTCTAAAAAGGTCAAATGTCACTTGTTTTGCATCAATCTTGATACAGGGTACTTATTATATGTCGTACTTTAGATTCCTAAAGCTTTTCAGGCCCTGACACACCAGGCAGTCACCAGAGAACTCGCCGACACAGACAGTTCCATCGACGAGTTCTCCTGCGTATTGGCCGTGTGTCGCACTGGAAATCACCGCAAAGACTTCAGCCGAGCACGTACGAACTGCGCATGCGTGAGTGGCAATAACTCTCCTTACCAGCAGGCGGCGGTAGTGTGTATTCGTCATTCAAAATAGGCAACAACCGGAAGACAGAGAAGAAGAACAGACTGATATAAACAAACAAATAGCGTGTGCGTTCCATTTTCACTCTCGTCCATCGAAAACATGTTTTAGAATATAAAAATACATGAATGATGAAATGAGCACATAAAGTGCAGACATACTATAAAATCACAGTTAATAGACCTGCATCTGATGATCGCAGTGTTCTGGCGGGTGTGTAGTTTATTGAGTCAGCAATGTAATAATGGCCACTTCTTGCTAAATTTACGATGAGATGAAAAACCGGACTTGACCAAACAAATCACGGAGCTCTCAGCAGAGGACAGCCGGGGACGCTCCCGCCGATATCAGAGATGTCCCTGCTATGTGTGGGAGGTAAGAGAGGACATTTAAGGGCTATGTTTGATGTCTTTAAGTATCACCTGCTGGGGTTTAGCTGCTGTCTTGTGCCTTAAATCGTTTGTTTACGTCCCTCACTTCCGTTTCGCTTCTCATTTACTAGCTGAACAGCTGATCAGAGTGGTTTCTTGGCCCGATAGCTTGTGTCCGACACCCGGCCGATTCAACATGTTGAATCGGCCGGGTGTCGACCGTGAAAGGCCAAATAAGGCGTGTCACGGCCGAGGGTTCGGGACACACCAAATTGACTTTGGGCGACAAGGAACCCGTTTTCGCCCAACAACGCAAGACGGCCGATATCGGCCTGGTGTGTAGGGGCCTTTAGTCTACCATCCCATCATTCAAGGGTAGTTTTCACTATAAGTAAAAAATAATTTTTGGAGGGACACTATAATTTACAGTTTTTTACTATGTTCAATCTGAATTTTCTTTAAAATAAAAAACATCTATATTGATTCTGACTTTTCTACATCCAACTCACAGGTTTATTATTACTTTGAGGAAAAAAGATTATGAATTTTCCTCTTTTAGAAGTGTAGTTCTGGTCATTTGTTCTGGAAATGTCATTTTTGAGCCTCAGACCTGAAAAACAGGCTTGGGGCTTAACAGGTTAATGAGTTATTAGTGTGAATGCTGTGCCACAGCATTCCACTATAGTTCTTCGAATCTTTATTCTTCCAACTTTTTCCAAATATTTTAGACTTTTTGAAATATTCAGCTTTTTAAACTGTTTTTTAAAAATGGAACTCAATGGGAGGAACCTTAAAATCCTCTTTTAACTACACCGTGCGCCAAATGCTACTCCTTCCACATACTTTCAGCTTTAAAATGATCACAAGACCTTCAGCTATAAAACTTATTCTTCAGATTTTTGATATCTTTTACAGTTTTTGACTTATCAACGTTTAAGTTTTGGTACATTTTCAGGCCGTTTTCGATTTTATATTGGGTGTCTATGGGACGACTCTTCAGGGCTAGAGTGTGTGACATTATCACTTAGAGTGTAGAGGGTCTTAAAAATCTTCGGAAAAAATATTTTAAAACTGCTCTCAGAGTCAAAATATACACTCTATTCAAATAATTTCAAAAGATTTCAGGAGCATAATTAGTCTGGCCTGCTCAATTGCCTTCATCATATCAAACGGACCCACCGTTCTGGCCCAATAGTGATCTGAGTGACAAAACGTCCACCTAGCTCCCAATAGACTCCCATGTTAAATTTGTCCGGAACTTTCTTCAGAACAGAGTAAAGTAAACTTTTTTTATAGGAGCCATAGTTTTTGAACAGGTGGCAAAATTGTCAGATATAATCCTCAATGCATTCTTAATGGCACTCAGTGCTGCAGCTGGTAACCATGGTGTTGCTGGGCAGATTGAAACCTTTGATCTCTGGGCTCACACGGGTGTTATAATTATTTGTTATGATTAGGTGCTCAGCACAGAAACAAACACTGACAAACACACTGGACTTTAACAGACTGTCTCAGCCTATTATTTTCTGTCTGATGGAGACTTCATACTGACTTCAACATGTTCCACATATTTTATACATTATTAGTGACGTATGGTTTTAGTCAAAAATATTCTGCTGCTTTCCCAAGCCTTTTTACTTTCTTTTCTCTTCTTAATACACATTCATTCACTACTACTTACATCTGATATGTAACTCTTTCAGCCTACTTTCAGCTACAGAAACCATTCAACTATTACATTATTCAGCTATTTCAGGACATTGAGGCTATACATGTTGTTGTTTATACCTTTTTTAAACCTTTTCTTTTAAATATTAAGCTTCTTCACTATTGTTCCTACTCTTCCAGTTTAACATTTCACTTTCAAGTTTTCAACAAAGTCATTGCAATGCATTTGAGCTGTAAGGGTGCGTACGGGTGCTGGAAATCCTTGAAAATGCTTGAAATTGTACGAGGTGTTTTCAAGGTTTGAAAAGTGCTTGAATTTTGGGAATGGTGCTTGAATTTGGGATAAAGTGCTTGAAATTGTAAATGCTTTACTTCGCTTTTTAGATTAAAAGAAAATAAAGAAGTCGGAGCGCGCTTAATTGCTTCGCTTTTACATAAAACAGCTCCGCTCCGGCCTTCCCGCGCAATGCGCGTGACCGGCAAGTGTTTTTGTTACGTGTGTGACCTGGGCATTCTGATGAGAGTGATAGATGACAGTATGCCAGGAGGTTGCCGTTTCAACGAGCGTTGGCTAGCAGAAGACAAATACAAGCCATGGCTAAGACGAGGGTCAAGCGAAGCCCAAGAGTAGCCTCCTGCAAAGTGTGCAACAATAACGATGCGAGAGTCTGCGCTGACGAGCCACACACCACACGAAAGGTACGCCATAGTAGAGCATTTTAGATTAGGCTATCGTTGTATGTAAAATACATGACACTTTTCTCTGTGCGCGGCAAAACAAGCTCGCCAAAATGGCTTCACTAGTCTGGCAGTATTTTAAGTGTCCGAAAATGACAATAAAATAGCGGTATGCAACGTGTGTGTGAAGCAGAAATCCTGCAGCTCCACCCGCTGTGACGGACCGGTGAGCGGAGCAGAACACACATTAAGAGTTAGACCTAACACACTTAGCTATTTGATCTACCTCTGGAACAAGCTAAACTAGTTATAAATATATTTATTCTTCACTGTCGGGTCGCTCATTACTGGATCAGTGAGCTGCAGGAGATACTGACGGGCTGTCAGGAGAGAGAGAGAGGGGGAGAGAGAGAGGGGGAGAGAGGAAAAGAGAGCGATATCGGTATCGGCCGATACTGATTCCGGCGATCGGCTCCAAAATTGGCGATCGGAGCATCCCTAATAATTGTATATGATATGTTTTATAATGATTGATCATTAACCTGTTAAGCCCCAAAGCCCCCGTCGGCGGGTCTTTTTTTTTTCACAAAAAAAATAAAAATAAAAATCTTTTTTTTAATTTTTACATTTTTTATACATTTTTAATTTTAATTTTTTTTCTTTGAATGGAATGAATACCTATGGTGATAATTCAATGTAATACATCATTTTTATAGTCTGGTACCTGAAAAAGGTCAAATGGCACTGATGGAACCAGATATACCCAAATGTGCCGAAAGCTTATTCCGCTTGGAACTTTTTTTTGCTAAACCTCTCTAAAAAGGTCAAATTGAACTTGTTTTGCCTCAATCTTGATACAGGGTACTTATTATATGTTATAGTTTGGATTCCTAAAGCCTTTAGTCTACCATCCCATCATTCAAGGGTGGTTTTCACTATAAGTAATGTTTTTTCTTTAGGCGGAGGTAAGAATTTACCTTTTTTTACTATGTTCCATCTGAATTTACTCTGACTGAGAACAATCTATATTGATTCTGACACTTCTACATCCAACTCACAGATGTAACCTTGCTTTGATAAAAGAAATTATTCATATAACCCTTTTAGAAGTGAAGTTGTAGTCATTTGTTTTGGGCATGTCATTTTCGAGCCTGAAACCTGAAAAACAGGCTCGGGGCTTAACAGGTTAAAGTGTTCTCAAAGCTGGTAAAGGTGCAGCTAGTTTGAATGACTTTGTATACTACAGAGTAGCTTGTGAATTTACTCCAGGTGGAACTAAAGTCTGATTTAACACTTGGTTATATTTCACATCATTCATCCACATCTGTAAAGTAACTAAAGGTATTAAATACATGTAGTGGAGTCAAAGTACACCATTTACCTCTGACTTGTGTTTACTGCCAACCTAAAAGTACCTCAAAAATAGTAATCAATAATATATTGAAAAGTTATTTGGCTGATTGTTTTATATTGGCTCAGCCAGGTTATATGGGATGCCCAGTCTACGTACAGATGGGTCACTCATTTTGAAATATTAAACGTTTTCTTTTCTAACATTTTTAATTTTTCATCCTCATGTAGAATGCTATTATGAAACACACATTTGGTTGTTTATAGCATAAAGAACATCTGATTTAATGTGAGGTAGGGAAATAATCATTTGAGTATAAGTATGTGTATATAAATATGTAATTTACAACAGCTGTAAGATGCTTGAAAAGCTTGAAAATGCACCTTGAAAATGCTTGAAAAGTGCTTGAATTTGACTTTGGAAAAGGTGTAAGAACCCTATTTGATTCAAATCATTTCACTTTTCTGCATTTCTCCGCTAAGTTCAGCAACACACTTACTTGGTTTTTGTAGCTAAAAGCAGCTACAGAGACCATTCAGCTAATAACATATTCAGCTTTTTCTGCATTTTCAGCTAAATTCAGCCACAAACGTTCACAGTTTACAGCATTCACACGCATTTTCTGCAGGAAATGCATTTTCTAGTTGAACTGGTTTCTCTGAACATTTAGACATGTTTAATTTCCGTTCTTATCTTTACATGTATTGGACAGCACCCAAGTTTTTATTTCTTGTTCCTGGTCTCATTGGTTTTGGGACTTTTACTTAAAAGTGACTTGGGAACCTAAAGGAGGTTCATGTTAATGTCTGGTTCAATTAAACATGTTCAATAATTTACATTGCTTTCCGCACAGCTTTGCACATGGTCTAATTTAAAAGTGCATAATGGAGTAAGTTAACTAAGCTTCTCTGAATTCCACTGCTCTTTAACTTATAAAATGGCTGTAGCACGCCCCACTCAACATTCAAGCTATCTATTGATACACTGCCAGTACATGTTGAGGAAATAGTTCATTTCTCTGGGTAAATATATCCAATATCAGGTTCAGCTTTCCTGTAACTCTTCAGTAAATTTGCTAAAATAAAGCTTCTAACTGTTGAATCCTCTGAAACAGCTGCAGCATTGCGGTTTGTATGTGGCTATAGAGTTTTAAATGAAAAAGTCCTGCATTAGACTGCATGCTTGTGTTTTCAAGATGTGCGTGTTAAGGTGTTTTATACCCAAAGATACTGCAGTGAAAAGGCAGTAAAAAAATCTAGCACTGAGTCCAGCATGCAGTAAGTGTGTAGAGACGATTTATAGTTTAAATCTAAAAGTAATAACATTTGGAGATCACCACAGTCAGTATCTCCGGCATTCTTTACACCAGACACTGTGACTCCTGCTTTATCTAGGTCCCTGCAGGACTCCTCTGATGATGCACTGCACAATAACCTTCATTATAACTATCAAATGACCATATGCACAAGACTTTCTGGGATGAGTTAGTACCTCAATATCCCCTTCACACACTTATTGCTCACAAACACTCATACAAAACTATGCCCAGATATACTGTAGTATGGATCACTTGAACATGCATAAATGACAATAATTACATTCATTAGCATATCTGGCTACCAATAGTTATCTACAGTCATATATTTACATAATTGTTATCACATTGTGCACTACACACTGCCTGCTTAACTGGGCACTGGTCCCAGCTGTCATTCATTCAGAGAGAAGAGCCTATGGGAGTATGACAAAGCCAAGTCATAAAAAAAACAATGAGTCGTCACCACAGAAGAAGAATGTATGAGATAGAAAGTCCCTCTCATCTGGCTCCATTGTGTCTTTGCTGTGGGCGATGTGCAGTGTCCTGGTGTGGTTGGCCCTCTGCTGGTGAACCACTGAACTGCATTACTTTAGATTCATCCTCATAAATGTAATGAACAAGTAGAATTGATCGCAGGTGTTGCCAGGAATGGACCAGTTGACTTCACTCAGTTTTTGTTCTTATGTTTTCTTTGTGTCTCCCCTTCAGTCTGAAACCGCTGGACATTGAGTTCATGAAGAGACTCCATGACAAAGTCAACGTCATCCCTCTCATTGCAAAAGCCGATACTCTGACCCCAGAGGAGTGCCAGCTCTTTAAGAAACAGGTATTTATTTGTGTGTGTATGTGTCACATTCATGGGATAAGAAGCATAAACATAGTATGCTACTATAGGCATTCAAGCTTTCTTTATGAGATTTTAAATGTGATACCTTCTTATTTCTGTGGGTAAAGTTTGGAGCTAGAGCTAGGCATTTAGCCTAGCTTAGATTGAATACTGGAAGCTAAAGATATGATGAATTTGAGAGTTCATATATTATAAAGAAAAATTACAAGCGACTGCCGCCTCATTAGTGAGATTTGGAGTTGTTGGTAGGCATATGTTTTAAATTTGGTCGAGCAAAGCCATTTCATCCTTCTTCCATCCTTTATGCTAAGCTAAGCTAATCACCTCCCTAACTCCAAACTGTATGCACATGTGGTATCAATGGTATCAATCAAACTCAAATAATGGGTAAAGAAACAAAAGGATTTTACAATTAAAGGAGAAATGTGAATATTTGTTTGATCTTTATATTTTGACAGGCCAATGGTGTGTACTCGTTATCTTTATTCTGATTACATTCTTCCTTTGTCAGATCATGAAAGAGATCCAGGAGCACAAGATCAAAATTTATGAATTCCCAGACACGGAGGATGACGAGGACAACAAGCTCATCCGAAAGATTAAGGTAATGGAGCATGCAGTCTTTTTAGTCATTTGAAACCTGATTTAAGGCCTTCTGATCGATCTAAGTAGGAAGACAGCCAGATATCAGTCTGGCCTGTAGGCTGTATCCAATTTCTCAAAGCCCCATTTCTCCACGCCAGACAGCCTCTTTACAATACTGACCATCATCTTTACAGACAAGCATATTGAAGAATCTTCATTATTTATTGTCATTCATGTAACGCTGCCACAATCAACTCTGGAAATAGCAAACATGGTACTATATAAGGTAAAATATTTCATCCGCATCATATTAATGTGGGCCCTTAGGGACATTTCTATAATTAAAGGCCTGCTCGCAGCAGCATTTGAAACTGTGAGATGACACAGATAGCCCAAAATGGAGGAAATATAGTAACATAAATAGCTCAATTGCACCATCCAGCATTGTAAACCCTGCTGCTCTATTGCAGTATACTGTAAACTGCTCCACATACATTTGTATTATTTTCTGGTTTTCTTGAGGCCAGGTGTGGTCAGTAGCCACAGGAAGTAACCAATCAAACATTGAAAAACAAAGAAGTGTCATTGCAACATCCATAATGCAGGAAGCAGTGTTTTGTTCCCAGTGAAGTAAAGTTATTTCCTCCCCCCCTCCCCAGGAGAAGATGCCGCTGGCAGTGGTCGGCAGCAATGTGGTGATCGAGGTGAACGGCAAGAAGGTCAGAGGTCGCCAGTACCCATGGGGCGTGGCGGAAGGTAGGTTCACTCTGGTCCTGAACCTGGAGAGACACTGCCTCCATGTTGTGGTCAGACTAGATCATGAACCAGGAAATGAGTGTGCATTTTGTTTCTGTTTGCGCCTTAGTCAGACAATGACAAATTAGAGAGGAAGACTGAAACAAATTGGCTTTACAAATGTTCTGTGTTTAAGATAAAAAAGAGAGAACAGTGTTATCTCTATCATGAAGAATTAAGCATGATATACCTGAGAGTGAGAGACACAGTGTTTTACAATGCCCCCTGTATCCACTGAATGTATTCACTACCAGGTAATAGAGTATCCTTTACAGGAAATGACTTGATGTCAAAATGCAACCTGTTAGTAGAAAAGTAGATATTAAGTGTTTTATTACCGCATAGCACATGATCGTAACACACCTGCTGGAGTTTCATTGAATTAGTATTGAAATAAATATTTATTTTAGCGTCAAACAAAAATGAATACTCTGATTTGAACCATCAATTGAATAAGGTAGTACCAAGACAACACTTGAGAGGTACAGCTTTGTACATGACACCTGTACATCAGATTGCTTTTTGAGGCTTTGAGGCTCGGTGGAAGATACCAGCATTTGAGGATCACTTCTCAATGACTGGCATATTGTTGTTTTTTCAGTTTGTGAGATTAACAGTGACAACAAGACATTGCAAAATCAGCCTTAAGCTTGTGGAATAGATTATTTATCGACAATTGTGTTTTATTCGATATGTTTGTGATCTGTTCCCAAGGTAAAGAAAATGCCTTGGTTAGATGGTTTACTCCATTTTTTTCAAATGTGGTAAATACATGAGGGAAACATGTCCCTAAAGCCAGGTTTGAAGTTACCTTAGTCACCCACTTGTCTTCACTCAACATGAAAAAACATGGATCTTTGGTATTGTGGGTCTTCAGCCTCGAAAAGGACTCTGAAAAGAACGTAGGTAGTGCATTATGGGATATGTTGTTTAAAGAACTGACAGTGTCACTACCAGCTCTGATGAACTGCTGTTGCCCTGACTGTTTCTTTAATTTCCTCTGATGTGCTGTGTATATCTGAGTGGAGTTGTTGCTCTGTGGTTGACCGTTGATCAGTCCCTCACTTTTTCATTCTTTCTTTCCCCCTTTTTTTTCTGTCTATTCTTTTCCATGACTGACAGAGGGCATTTTTGGTAAACCAAACCATCTTTCTCTTAATTTCAGCCTCATTCCCCCCCCCTCCTCTTCCTCGTCCTCCTCAGTGTCCTCCAAAGTCCCCCCCCCCCCCCCCCCCCCTTTCCCTCCACTTTTTCTGTTGCTGTGCTGTCTCATCATTAGGCTGATGGTCAAACCAATGCTCTAATCAGACCTGGGCTCAAGTACCAAAAACACATCGTATTTGGAAACATTTGTACACATGGATATATTGAAACGTGAATGTGAATATTATATATATTTTTTAAACATAGACATCAAAACTCTTCATGTGTTCTCAGTAGAATGTTGGCCCCAGTGCTCTCTGCTGAATTAGCCTCTACAGCTAGCTTAGTCCAATTAAGGCTAGCAGCAACTATTAATAGTTTATTTAATATTTCAAAGATAACTCAAGTAGCTGATGTTGAGGGGTTCATTTTTAAATGGGATGGTACTAAGACTATACACAACAGCAGAGATTCTGCCAGTTTGTATTATATTGTCCCAATGGCCTTCATTTTCGTCCATTCACTGAACAGCAGTACATGGCCATCCTTAAATCATTTGGCGTAATTTAAGGGCCTTACACATATATGAGCTAGGCTGCTATAGAGTGGAGCAGTGATGACGTATTTATATAGGGAGACTCGTAGCTGGCATCACAAGGGCTCCCTCGACTAAAAGCAATGGGATTTCCATTGGATTATGGAATATTGTAGAAAAGATTATCTGTGGAAAACACACGTTTATGATACTTACACGTTTTGTTCAGCAAGATAATCTCCACATATTAACACCACTTTATGATTGTTATGGTGTAAATGCAATCGCCAGAAGTAAAATGCTAACATTAGGCTATAAACAAGCTACATCGCAGTTATATGACGTCACCACCGCTAAACTAAAGGCAGTTAATTTTTGATATGATGACGTTTAGCAGATTCATTTGCCAGCAACTGCTGTTTTGACAACACAAAGAAGATTCTGACATTCTCCAGTTGGGTATTTACTGACGTAGTTCATGTCGTAGAACACAACATTAAAATCTATTAAGCTTATGTCCTACTTATTTCAGGCCTCTAACCAAAAACCCATTGAATTTGAGACGAGGGAGCTCGAGTGGTGCAAAAGTACCACTCTATTATCAACTTATTGTAGTTATTCCTAGACAAATTGATATTGGCATATATGTAAGCAGGTCATTTTAAAACAGTTTTGCATAGTTTGTCTACCAGAGAGCACTGACAAGTATTTTAAAATGTTGGAATGGTACAATGTCTCCCTTAGTACTTGTATTGGTCACAAACAAGATATTTAAACGATCTCTACTCGTCCTATTGTTTGTTATAATAGGGGTTGTGTAGCGTGGGGCAGGATTTCTTGTAATCTACCAGAGACACATGAATGATTCTGTTTGTTGTCTTTGTTTTCCAGCTCTGAATCTGATCGTAAACCTGTAACAAAACCTCACTGTATTGTTTCAAAGGATAACTCCAATCCATAACAATATGGAACTTTGTTTGGATAGCTTTGACTGACATTTCTATCAGTTACTCTCATAGTAATTACTGACATTTGGGAACATGATGACATCACACGTCATGAATCTCTGATGCAGCAAAAACTCCTAAGCAGGTTGTGAACAAACCAATATTCTATCCAGACTATCTAACCCGCTTTCTATGGATGGATGCTAAGTAAAAAGCTAAAGCACTTACCTGCATGTGCAGTGTGAGATGATTTTACCATTTGTCTTATTTTTCTAATTTTTTGCTCACCTGAGGGTTTGTTGAAATCTGACGTACGACTGTTTCTTGCTGCATCAGAGTCTCTTTTGTCACTGTGTTCCCAGATCTCAGTAATCAACTTGAGTTAGGAGTTTAAAGTCATATTTCCTGGTAGTCTTGATGGCCACGGTTGTAATAAACTTCAGTGATCCTGCTAGGTGCATTTGATCACACAAAATGTGCCTGGTGTTGTCAGCAGGTTTAAAGCCTTCACACACTGGCTTGTTGGCCCAGGTCTGATGCTGAATAGTCATGGAGAAAACTAGAGGCTGTTTGGTGCTGAAGCTGCAATACTCTCTAACGCTGCTGTGGTTCCCTGCTTTGCTCCTATGGTATAATGGCACTCTGTTGTACCGTTGATCAGTCCTGCTTCACCACATGTTGTCATGGTGCAGACTGAGGACTGTACAGGCGTAGCTGTATCACTGGACCAAGGACTGGGATCCACCCTCATAACGCATTGCTTAAAGATTCATTATAGAGCATTTAATGGTGAGCTAGCGTTTTTCAATAGGGGCATGTAACGGCTCATTTAAATCATCAAGGTAACACGTGTTATTTTATGAATTCTCACTCATTAGCATATGTTTATGTGAGACCTTTAATATAGAAAGATGCTGAACCAGGTGTGTGCTCTTGATTCATTAAACCAATGCAGTTCATCATCATGGCCTAAACACACACTGCTAATAGATCCAGCGCTCGGGCTCAAAACACCTGATGGACCCAAAGAAATGTACATCGAAGACCAACATTGACAAATAAAAGCTAAAACGATTTTTGTGTCCATCAGGTATTTTCTGCCATCCATCAACAAATAAGAGCTGTATACTATATTTGAAAACCTTTTTTTTCCTACGACCATTGACCCCACTTAGCTCCTTCACTTGCACCCCCGGCTGGTCATGCGTAGATCCTCAGATAACACCCCCCCTCCAACCACCACCTTCTACAAGTCCTACTTAGTCAGTCAGTTTGGACACATGCAGGTTATGGTGTTGATCCGGGCCAAATCTGGGCCAGGTCTGAGCCATAATAAACCCAGCTGCTCCAGACCCAGATTTAGCCCCCCCCCCGCAGGGCGCAGACAGTAACTGAAAAACCGTACCCCTCCCCTCCGTCAGAGCTCCCTCCTCTAGAAGAGACAGAAGGTCAATGGCTGGCTTGGGAGGCCAAGGGGCGGGACAACATAAGTTTCATCAATGGTAAGGTATCCTCTTGAATCCCTGATGATGATTGACTGCCAGCAGGCTGGAGGCTAACCAATCAGGAGCAGCGTGTTTGATGAAGAGGAGGCTGGATCCACCACACACATCCTCAGCAGCAGTTCATCTTTTCCAAAAGCACATCTGACCGTGTAACCATGTCTTTGTTGTTAAGATGAAAACTCACAGTCATCTAACTGAACCATGTTGACATGAGAGTAGTTCTGTTTACTGTTGTCTGACCAATAACTGTTGTTTGTCCTAACTGTGGCGTCAAACAGTGAAAGGCTGTGATCCGATAGCAGGCTTTTTTCTTTTTCTCTTCTGAATGACTACTGTATCTGTAATTACAAGAGGCTCTCTTGTACTGATGAACCAACCAGTGGTGTAAAGTAACTAAGTACTGTACTTAAGTACAATTTTGAGATACTTTACTTGAGTATTTCCATGTGTTCCAATATGTTTTTGTTACTGTGTACTTTTACTCTATTTTACGCTATTTATTTAATTCCTTTAGTTACTTTACAGATGTGGATGAATGATGTGAAATATAATCAAGTGTTAAATCAGACTTTAGTTCCACCTGGAGTAAATTCACAAGCTACCCTGCAGTATACAAAGTCATTCAAACTAGCTGCACCTTTACCAGCTTTGAGAACACTTTAATGATCAATCATTATAAAACATATCATATATATTATTCTGAAATGGACCAATCTGCACTACTTGAGTATATTTTGATACCAATACTTTTGTACTTTCCATGAGTAACCTTTTGAATGTAGGACTTCAACTTGTAACAGAGTATTCCTACACTCTGGTCTTTCTATTTATACTTAAGTACAAGAAAATCAAGGCTATTGTATGACAAGTAAAGTCACTGCTTTATGTCACATGACTTAGCTCAGCCTCGCCCCTCAAAAAGTGTTTTGCTTATTTCGGCATCCCTTTGATATGATTATTTCAATACAATCACAGCTGTGTGTGTGTGTGTGTGTGTGTGTGTGTGTGTGTGTGTGTGTGTGTGTGTGTGTGTGTGTGTGTGTGTGTGTGTGTGTGTGTGTGTGTGTGTGTGTGTGTGTGTGTGTGTGTGTGTGTGTGTGTGTGTGTGTGTGTGTGTGTGTGTGTGTGTGTGTGTGTGTGTGTGTGTGTGTGTGTGTGTGTGTGTGTGTGTGTGTGTGTGTGTGTGTGTGTGTGTGTGTGTGTGTGTGTGTGTGTGTGTGTGTGTGTGTGTGTGTGTGTGTGTGTGTGTGTGTGATGACGTTATGAATCCAGACACAACAGTGAATTGTTTTCGGACATGTGAAGATAAACAAATGAAGCTTAACATAAAAATGAATGTTATGGGTCCAGTGTGAACGCACCAGAGGGCAGTCTCCCCCCTGCAGACTGAAGGCTCTCCATGCTCTCTGTATCAGCCTCCTCTCAGGTTTACTCACCTGGTTCTCCTTTTTAAAGTCCTATGTGATCATGGCCTGGCGTCTCTTTGCTCTTATTGCTGTACAATACCTTCATTTACTGTCACTTCTCTTAATACCTCCTCATAACTGATGACTGTGTGAACCTTACATACTGAGTGTTTGTGTACAATGTGGTCTCCATAGAGATTCATATCATGAAGTTTAACGTGGTGATGCTTTGCACATATTTTGCATATTCTTTTTTATATTGTAAGTACAATTAATTTGATCTATTATGTAAATAACACAAACAACCGTTGTTGATTTTACTCACCAAAAACGATATATATAGTTTATGCTTGGACTATGAACACAGCCCGTGACTAGCAGCTGACAGTTATTTACACAGTTAATCTGGTTATTGCAGTTATTTAGCACCTTGAGACTAGAAAATAATGATTCTGATTATGTCTAGAGAAGGGTTCATGTACACTAATGTTTGATGTCTGTGTCTCCCTCCCTCCCTCTCTGCCCCCCCACCCCCCGTGTGCTTCAGTGGAGAACGGGGAGCACTGTGACTTCACCGTGCTGCGCAACATGCTGATCCGGTGAGTCCACGTTCTGTTCAACATTCCTGCTTAACTCCAAGCAGCTAAAGCAACGTTCACTTTGTGTTGATTTTGGCGCTCCCTTAGTCAAATGAATAGAGAGAAAATATCTATGATTCAGCTAAATGTTACTACTTTTGGGACCTAATGATCGAAATGGGGGCTATTCAAATGTTCTCCCTGTGAAGTCGATTTACCTCAAAAAATGTATAGGCTGATTTCTCTTTCCCAGTCTAGAGGAAAAGTGTTTTTATGGAACCAATGGAAATACGTGACACGAAATTGTAGTTCCACTATATGGCCAGGGAGAAAATTCACTTCTGCCTTTGTTTTAGGAGGAAGTGAGGAGGGACGCAGATAGTTTTTTTTCAAACGTAGTTGTTTTCAGAATGTTACGCAATAGGGTAATGCATCTATTTTTGGCTGATTGGATTTAATAACATGATAGTGAAAAAACGTAGTTTTAGCCACCAACTCATCCATTGATGTAAAAAGCACGTCTTGCAATATATTTCATTAACAGAAACCAGTTTTTCTGTCTGTTCATCCTGCTGCTGTATTAGCTAAACCTCCAACAATAACATCAAAACCTGGCTTTAGTTCTAGTGACTGTGAATCACTGTGCTCTTCCGGTCTGCATTTAGAAAAAGAACTGATCTGCAGGGGATTGGACACGAGAACTGGCATTAAGAACAAAATCACTTTATAGCCAATATTCTCACTGATGCTCTCTGTTTCTTATGTAGGTCATAGAGAGGCATACATATTCAATTGAGTTTCATCGCCAGTTAAAAAACTTGAATCTCATGAAGGCAACTTGAGGCTAACTTGTTCTTTTTTTAAACCCAAAGACGACGACACCACTGTTCTGCAATAACACTTGTGTGTAAATTGGAATAACATAAGTCTAATGTCCATGCCCTTTATCTAATAGTGTTTCATTTTTTTTTTTTTTTTCTATCTTTGCTTTTGCTGTAACAATGTAAATGTCCCCTCTGTGGGATGAATAAAGGGATTCTGATTCTGATTAGCATTCAGTAAAAAACTAAATTAATATTTCTTCTGGAGTTCTGTTTCTATTTTCTCTCCAGCCTCCTGCAGACTTCCTGTACCTGATTGGTTTATTTTCTCCCCCTTCTATAGGACGCATATGCAGGACCTCAAGGACGTCACCAACAACTTCCATTATGAAAATTACCGCAGTAAGAAACTGGCTGCTGTCACCTGTAATGGAGTGGACACCACCAAGACCAAGGGACTGCTCACCAAGTACGCCTCAGAACTTCAATAATACCATCCTCATTTCAATGATGGAGAACACATTACTTCACAGCTTGGTGTCACTGCTTTACTTAAAGGGGACCTATCATGCAAAATGCACTTTTGTACGTCTTTTATACATGAATATGTGTCCCCGGTGTTCCAGGGAACTCACCAAGTGTCAGAAAACACAACCCTCTCTATTTTCCTCCATACCCAAATCTCTAAAAAAGGGGCTGCAACGGATCTGATAAAAACTGATCCAGATTTGAACACTGTCCTGACGTCAGGACGGTGGCGCTACGGCTATTGGGCCAACTCCACCAATCAGGAGGAGACAGCCACGGCCATTGCCGTTCGAAAGCGCTGGAGACGCTGTAGTACATATGCCAGGCCTGTAAGTGGCGCTGTAGTCTGCCACAAAAGCAGCGAAGAAGACTTGGTTACCATGGTTACCCTTCTGTTTATTCTCCGCTGTGGCTTTCTTTCTCCCTCCCCGAGGCAAGCGTTTGCTCCTGCTGCTGTAATTCAATGCAATCCCTCCCCGTCGAGGCAAGCACTGTAATTCTCTCCGGTTAGTCCACCAGCAGATGACAAACACCCACCTCTCCGCCTCTTCCAAGGAACGAGGGGACCGTGCGGCAGAGTTTCAGTTTCAGTTTCAGTTTCTTTCGCCGGTCAACATGTCCGTTAAAGTTTAAATCTTCCGGACAAAATTAGAAAAGTGCCGGTCAAAGGTCTTCTTTGTTATTTATTGAGCTTTAAAACAAATGAATAACGACTCTATATAATAAAACACGGAGGACGGAGATCTCTTTTTCTCCCCCTCTTCTGACAGCCCAGCAGCTGATCAGAGCACGTCTCCCCTCTCCTGCAGGGGGGCGTGGTCAGCAGAATCAGACCCGTAGACAGCAAACAGCACATAGAGCGAAATGAGGCATGGCTAAAATGCATGATCTGTTTGGTATTTCGAAAACAGAAACGTATAAATATACCTTATATAGGTATGGCCCTACAATATATCATTTAAATATAGCATGATAGGTTTCCTTTAAGAAAGATCTGACCCCTCTCTTTGCTCTGGTCCACAGGAGCCCCCTGGCCCAGATGGAGGAGGAGCGCAGGGAGCACGTGATGAAGATGAAGAAGATGGAGGCAGAGATGGAGCAGGTGTTTGAGATGAAGGTGAAGGAGAAGAAGCAGAAACTGAAGGACTCTGAGGCTGAGGTGGGTCTGAGGATATATGTGTGTGTGTCAGAGAAGATATTGTAAATATGTTCATTGTCTCCATTCACGACGGTGTTCACCATGAGTCAATTGATGAACATCTCAAAGCCAAAGGACTCTCCTGCAGCCAGGGGGGCTGGGAGGCTAGAAAAGACTACCGCTTACCTTCATTGTTGGTCTCTATACCATTGTGCACATGAATGGGCCCTAAACATTGAAACAGAATACTACCAGAAAATATACCTTTGTAACTTTAAGTCTCAGTTGTGTATCTCTGTAGTTGGCGTTAAACTGTGGGATTCTTTACCAAAAGGTTTAAAGGGCTGTATGAACATCTTCAGGTTTAAGAGAATGTATAAAGAAAGAATAATTAGACCGTATGAAGATGTCAGGTAACCTGTTTCTCTGATGGTAGATTGTTGTGTTGACTTTAGATTGTGTTACTGTAAGTCTTGGTGGTAAGCAGCTGTGATCGACAGTCCATCTATTTTTGAGTAAGGGGTCAAATAAGACCTTCTTCTCACTGCTCCATATATATATATATACGCGTGACATACAGGCTACAGCCACAATATATTATGTCCAGCAACTTGAAATATCAGCCTGAAGTATAAGGCTACAGTTTAAAGGTCAACAAATACATTCATTTATCAGGTAGCTATTCAGATCTTTAGAACAAATCAGTGAGAATGAGCAGAGGGAGGCTCTCAGACAGCTGTAGCAGCATGTGGGGCTCACAGCTCACGCTCCTCACATCACCCTGTCTTCTTATTTGACAGTTGGTGAATATAATTGCTGTTATAAGTAATAACAATGGTGTTTAAATGTATATGTAGAAACATTAGCCTTCCCCATCATGTTGAACCTGCAGCGCCGCACTGTGGCTTTCAGAAGACTGCATGATTGATGTTCCCAAAAAGCCAGTTTATATCCAATGATTTATTGTAAAACAGCTGCTAATCCAGGCAAACTCCAGTTGTCATAACTACTACAGTGTTAGATCTCTTTGAATTGCCCATGAGACAGTCTTTATGCAAACATTACATGTCTCCACAGTATACTCTAATCACTGTGCATTTCATACTGACTGGCTGGCGAGTCATTAGGATGAACCAGACAGCATCAGCACACATTCTCAGTACATTTGCCAGGATGAAACTGTTGGTTATCAAATTAACAGTCGGATGTATTTAAAAAATGCAATAATTAATGAATCTGGACCTTCAAATGGATGCGTCGACTGTAGAATCTTTAGAATAAATGTTAGCTACAAATAAACTGCAGTCTATAGATGTAATGAACATCTGTAGAGAAAAGAAAATGTGGCCGCAAAGAAGATAAAGGGATGAGAGGAGTATCAAATAAGAGTGTGAAAAGGAGGAAGAGACCTGTATTATGTGCTATTGAAGGGGGAATACAACTTGAGAGTAACTGATGTTCGTCCCTCAGCTGGAGCGACGCCACGAGCAGATGAAGAGGAACCTGGAGGCGCAGTACAAAGAGCTGGAGGAGAAGAAGCGGGTGTTCGATGACGAGAAGCTCCACTGGGAGGCTCAGCAGAGGATCCTGGAGCAGCAGAAGCTGGACGCCTCCAAGTCAGTCTCACTGCTACTATTTCACTCATTCATCTTACGTCTGTTGTACTAAGCTATATTTATTATTAGCATTATTAGGCCAGACTCCCCCCAAGCCTTATACATCATAGACTATGACAGATGGAGTCCATACCATCGTTTTATGGATGCACTTTTTACAGAGAAACTGCCATTCTATGTTGAGTTCACTACAGACACCACACACTCTGTTTGAACTTGTTTTCACTCTGAGAAAATCCCTGCACTCTTGTGGTGTTACCATGGTTACCACATCATCTTGGATACATCCAGTCATTAGGAGCACTTCCTGTAGAGATCACCATCAGCAGATGAATTTATTGAAATCTTGTTTTTGAATGAATGCTAAAGTCACACTGATATAGTAAAATCCTGTGTGTGCCCTCACACTACAACACACTGCCCCGAGGTAACAAACAGCAACACTGTGGCCACTGGTTGCACAATAATACAAGATAAAACATGGCCTCACAAATAAAGAGGGGTCATAAGGTCATTGCAAAGTCATTTATGTCATGCACACAGCTGTTTCTATCAAAGGTTTCTAATATATTATATGGCAGATCTAGACCAAATCAATATATTTAATTTCACTACTGAAAAAAACCCATTCCTGTTATCTCAGGCCCAGGTCACAGCACAGTATTGGCTGCAACACTATCAATACATTAGATGTGAAGTTATCAAAGTTTATCACGTTATCATATTCTCCCCTTTTATTATGGTGAGTGTGAAGGCGATGTATTCATTCCTTTCAGTGTTGGGGTCAAAATACTGGCCAAAGAAATGTGCATAGAATTTGACCAAAATAAATAAATGTATGTATATTTTGTAAAGATTTGGTTGAAGATCCCATGAACACGTAAAGCTCAATAATGTTTCTCCCTGCTTTGTACAAGATTGTAACATTCCTTTTCTTGTCCCCCACACAGGACGATGGAGAAAAACAAGAAGAAAGGAAAGATCTTCTGAAGAGAGCGATTCTTCACTTTTACACAAACTCGGTTTTCCTTCATCCCCTCTGAAGTTCACATGTACCATGTGGCCCTCCAAACACACACACACATTAACAGATATACACTCCACAACATCCCTCTGTGTTACATTTAACATGTACCACGTGTGACGGATGGAAGACACACACACACACATACACACACACACACACACACACACACACACACACACACACACACACTCTCATCTCTCAGCAGGGTTACCGTACCTGTTGAAACTTCTTGTTTCCATGGGGAATGCATGTTTTTGTGAAATTCTATTTTCCTATATTTCCTGACAAAGAGGAGGCCCTTCCTCTGAGCTACAGTACGACACGTGGCAGGGACCACCCATAGCCATCTGCTCACATGTAGTAGTGTATGTTCTCTAGATATTCCATAGATCTGCAGGTAGACGTACTGTCTCTCTTCTTTGATTCTTCCCAAAAACAACATAACACAGGTGTACTGTATTCAAACACTCTGTCATAAAGACCTCATGAGAGTGTGTTAAGAGAAGGGAGAGTGTATGTGAGTGAAGGGAACTGCGTCAGGAGCGGGGGGGAGTCAGGTGGGAATAAGGCCCGGTCATAGAAAGTCAAAATAATCAGCAAATCTTTTAAAAGTGGAATACTACAAGTCTATTTGCCAGCACTGTGAACACGGACATATTGAGTACCCCAAAGTTTTATGTCAGAAATGTATAGTAGGGTCCTTAGCCCATAGAAACTGCCGGATGCTAACCTGCATATGTTGTGCAATTTGCACAATTAGCATCAGTTGCATTCATTAGCTTATGCAGACATAGATAAAAGATGGCTTGGCCAATTTTGGTGTGGTTTTGGAGGTTATTGAGGGTGTTGAATCAATTTCTGACGTTTTTAGGATCTTAAGTGGCAGTTTTGAGCCCCTTAAAACTTTCAAATCGACCCAGAATTAATCAAAATCAGTCCACCGGGACGTCAGAAATTAACGTCCTCATTAACCTCCAAAGTTCTCCGAATCAGCCAAGCCATTTATGTATTATTGTCTGCATATGCTAATTATTTCTAATTAATGTAACATTGTGCAAATTGCCCAACATGCAAGTTAGCATCCAGCAGTTTCTATGTGCTGGGGACCTGAACTATACATTTCTATCATAAAGCGTTTGGGGTTCTCAACTTCTCCGGGGTCACTATACATGTAGGACTCTAAGAGCTGGCAGAGAGACTAACCTGGTAATGACTACATGTAAGGCCAGTCAAGAAACCTCTGTTACTGAAGAGCTTAATACTTACGTGTTATTGCTATTTGGTCAGTTTCACTTTTTAGCAAATATGTCTTTGGAATAAATGACCATAACTTACCGAACTTATTGTCCTTTTTCCAACGTTTTTGTATTTAAAAAGAAATGTTTGCTGCAATGCTTCCTGTCTCATAACTGTCTTCAGGACATTCCTCTTTTATGGAGCAGTTTTCACTCCAGCAGGGAGATCAGTCAAAAGCTAATTGTAGCGGTGAAATACCAAAACAAAGTGGGGCACCAGTGAGCAAATCTTATGATGGGGAAAGTATCCAATCTGCAGGCAAGAACGTCGTCTTTGTTCATTTATTTCGTAATTATCCAAATATCCAACATATAGAGAACAATGAATTCACCTGTGGCTTTTCCTGTGTTTTCACTGCCCGAGCAGCATTTTTATTTTGACTTAAATGTTCCGTTTTATTTCCTTATTTCGCTGCTACAAAGTAAAAACAACATTTACCTATACTGGTGTAAAACAGCTGATCAACTGCAGCAGCTTCCTTTATTTTGGACTCAAGCACTGTGTAGTCAGCGTAAATTAAAGGGAAAGATATGCCCCATGGAAGCAAATCCACCAATCAAAAATGTTTCCACCTTAAATGTGGGGCCGGGCCTTCAGGCAGGTTTTCCAGTGGTGTGTGTGTGTGTGTGTGAGCAGTGTTGTAATAATGCTGTGTTTGAGGTCATAGAAACTGCAGGGAGATGCGTATCATGCACCTGCAGAAGGGATTCCATGCAGTGTGTGTTTCCCATTAATAAAAGACATTATGCAAAGCCTCATTGGCGTCTACGACTCTATAGGCCACCGTGATTACAAAGGTGTTTAATATAGTGATTCAAGTGATGGATGTTGTCATAGAGCTGAACCCTGTGTGTAAAGGGACAATTCATCAAAACAAGAATTATTCCTGTTCCTTTCTCCCTGGAAAGTTAACTGTTTGGAGGACTTAGCCAAGTCAGCTGTGTCTCTGAATTTATTATACATAACTGCTTCCTCAACAACAAAACATTCCCCCTCTGATATTCTCTCAAACGATCTACAGTCCACATCGGAGTCAAATCACAGTCAGCCATAGCGATGTGTTCCAACCTTTTACTATACCTTTCCAAGAGTATAATGTTTATTTTCATATGATGATGTTGTTAATAATACTATATGTAAGGTCAAAAAACTAAATCCCTTGTGGTTTTCTTAAGACTCGTATAGTTATCTGTTCTTTTTAGTATAGTTTTCAAAATGCCCGCAGTCTTCATGTTGCATTTAAAGACAAAATGCTAAACCCTTACACCTTATCACATAAAATATTACCTTTATGGATTTGTTTGATGATTGATTTTATTGTGTACATACTGGAGGCTGCTCTGTGGCCTTTTTCTTTTGTTTTTTCAGATGATATGCCAGGAACAGAACTTGTACTCAGATCAGAACCTATTATATACTTGTCTTAAGAATACACAAATACAGTACATTTCTTTACATGCATACACACACATATACTGTATACATCCATGCCAATGAGTACACTTTCTCAGGACTGCTGTGTTATGAAGTCCAGAGGAAGTCAGGCTGGTCCCTACAAGTTAAAATTGTGATTTCTTTTTTAAATGCTTGTGAACCACTTGCCCTTGGAATACACACCACAAGTTAAGATAAGTTTAGGTGATTTTTTTGTTGTTGTAATATTATCCTTTTTTTATATATGTACACTCTTTACTGCTTCTCTTCTTTGTTCTGTCTCTAACTGTACATGGTTAATAAAGTTGACTTGGTTATGCTTTAACTCATGCGAGTGAGTATTCTTTAACTGAATAGGGATATATTAAAACATACCTATATGCACAATACAAACGTGTAAATCAGGGGTGTCCAAAATGTTTCACTGAGGTCCACATACAGAAAGATATACGAAGATCTAGGCCCCTCACTAGAGGTGAGGTATATTGGCACATAAGTTATGTTATAAGTTAGTAAAATCAATCATATGTAGGTCAATTATGCTTGATCATTTAATATGCTTAAAGAAAACAGTTGGTCGTAGTTTAGACACCCCTGATATAAACCATATAAGAAATTGAACAACTCTGCAGTCAGTTTCACATCCTTTTTTGTACGGAGATTAGAGCAGTTGTTTTGCTTCGGTTTGACATGTTTAAAATGGAAATGCTATCTTAAAGTTGCATGTAGTAGCCTCTAGGTGCTTTCACAATAGATAATGTGATGAAGTGTCTTTCCTGTTGTCTTCACAAAGAGACAAAAGGACATGTATGCAACTTCTGAAATATCACTCATCTTTTCACAACAAGAAACAAGCTAGTGGTGTGAATCTGTGCACAGGAACCTGCCAGAACTACTGCAGATCCTTTCATCTGATTCCATTGACCTTCTCTATGTTGTGTATTTACACATTTCTCTTTGCAACCGTATTCCAGATCCAAAATACTCAATAGAACCTAACATACTAAAACGAAAACAAGCACAACTTGTTTTACAGTCCCAGGTACAAATTGCAAGCTTGGCACCCAAAGCAAATGGACTAACTTTTGTAAAAACAAGCAAAACATTCCTCATTCTTTTGGATAAAAGTTAAATCTATCAGCTATAAAACATCACTGCTATTTTCCATAGCACAGGGATTTTGCTGCGACAGTCTTTTCTGGTCTGGTATGGTCCGATATGGTGGCTTATGTTAGCTAAAGTTAGCTAATGTGAAATATTGATGTGCTGAGTCAGTTTTCTGATCTCATGACTCCCACTACTGTAACTGTATGTCTGTTACACTACAGTGCCACTTCTGGTTCAGGTAAAAAAGCCTCTGAGGGCTACAGCTCATTCATCCGGGCCAAGGCTTTCTCTTCCATGTGCTGCTCATTGTTAACGGTCCGATTAGCAAACTGAGAAGCTAGCATGGACTTGAAATACGAAAATTGGGCTGGCTTGTTTTTTTACAAATAGCCAGTTTACAAGCTATTTAAGATAATCAAAGCTAAATAGTCATCAGACGCTAGCCAATGGGTTCCTAGATTCATGGGCGTCGCAGCCATTATATGAGGGTGGGACAAGTCCCCCCCACTTTTTCAAATGATTAGTTTAGACCCCCCCACTTTTACTATGCGGAAAGTCCGTGAATCGGTCTATCCACTCGCCGCACTTTGTAGAGCGCTGTGTCAGTGCTTTACTATCAAATGAAATCCATTCCACTTGCTTATTGAGAGAATGCCCAAATCAATGAAACTCCGTACCATGTTTTCACTGCTACTTTGTACCAAGGCAGATTCTCACATAGCGCGCGCATGTTCAAGGAGTGTTGTCATAGTTGGACAGCTCAGATCTGTTGTATGAAGCGATGCCGGTAGCGGAGGTAAGGCACACATACCAAATGTTCAGGAAATGGTTAATACAGCGAAAATCAAAGCTGACGATCTCTTGGTTTGATATGTTTTCTCCCCCAGACAACATGGGCATAAGAACATTTTTTTCAAAGAAGAGGAAAGTAAGTCATCAGCTGGTAGCAGTTAACAGTGATGGCGGCGTCTCACTTCTGGAGAGGAGTTTCGTCTTTATGTCATGGTAGAGAGATACCTACTGCTTGGGACTTTGAGTCTTCAAAATGTCCAATGTCACAGACTGGGACTTACTTTAGAGTCAGTTGTATTTACATTCAGTATGACTTGTTATGATTCAATGTGAAAGAGTATACTGCTCAATAAATAATTATCACTTCACCAACTCTCTTGACATCTAGGCACTTGAGAGTGAGTCAGAGGCAGAATACAGGGACAGAGAGAGAGGTCCATTGCTGAGGTGAGTGATGAAAGGGAAATGACAGTTGAGAGTAAATTGTGATGTGGACTCTCATCCCAGGATTTTAAGGAAATCAGTGGGGATATTGAACAGGAAACATTTCAGTCAAGGGGCATCATATGACCAATATAGACAGAAGAGCAACATTTATTTGAACTTAACATCTGTATGGAGTCAGATCAGTCTCAATATTAATAAATGCTCACAGAAGGATTCACAAATGTATTTTGCGATTTATATATAAATGACTCTCCACAACAATATCTCTCAATGCACTCAAATATTTATTGTTGTATATAAATGTACAAAAAATGGGCATTTAAACTGCTTTTTATTAATTCAAAGACAGCTCTGAATTAATAATCAAATATGTTTCCTTTCTTTACTACTGGATGAAATTACAAAATGTACCCATCATTTTCCTCATGCTAGTATAGCCACATACAAGTATCAAACCACCTGTTAAAATGCACCAGAATACAGGAAATCTATATATTTTTTCGCCCCCACACCCCCCGTTAAAAATGTCCCCCCCACATTCAGGATGCTTCCTACGCCCATGCCTAGATTGCATTTTGGCCTATTCCTCTTTAGCTTTCAACACGGACTGTTTACCTGCATGCAACAAAAGACTAATCAATTGTTATTTGGAAAAACTACTGGCATTACTAACAGAAACCAAAACGGATTCATATGCAGATGTTTATCATGATGTTTATAGAGATTAAGATAAACTTGCTTTAGGAATAGTTTGACATTTTGGGGAAATACACTTTCATGCTTAAAGTCAGATGATGAAGTCCTGCTGCCCTGCTTTACCTTTAGGCTATTAGTTGCAGGGTTCACTAAAGCTCATGGCTCACTGGGACACTTGAATAAAACAAAGCCACGTTGATGGTAACAACACATTCAAAATGTCTGCTGTGAAAAAAAAAAAATGTCCTCACTAGCTGTTCTACATAGAACAGCGATGACATACAACATTGGAAAAAGATGACTCTTCTGCCAAAAACAACGTCTCTTGATGAGTTGCTAACTAACGTCCTCTCTGAATGACACAGGTTAAAGAAGTGTGACCCTGATATGCAGAACATGGCCCAATCCCAAACCACGCCCTACACCCTACCCCTACACACTCCCCCTCCGTGACGGAGTGAACTTCGTCTGTAGCCACACTCGCAGCTCAACGAGGCTCCCTCCTGTCAGATGGAGGGAGTAAATACAGCGGCAAGCTTTGGGACAAACTCCCCTCTCTCCGGCAGAAACAGGAAATGCCGTAACTGTATGTAACAACGGTTTCAAATCAGCATCTCTTTGACAAAATATTCAAATTAATAACTAAAATAAAACTCCAAACATCTTTAATTGTGTTACTTTTTTGTAAAGCACTTTTAGTTTTAAACCTGATGTTTATAAGCTTCTTAGTTTTTGCAACAGTCTGTAAATATACACAACTTTATAATAAAATGCACACATTTACCTTTTTCTAGACTAAACACTAGTCTAGCAGCAAGTCCTCAAAAAAGGCTTTAGTTTTCGAGATACCCCTACCCGAGGTAGAACAAATGACAACAATGATTTTTCTTATCTTTAGGGTCTCCCATTAATGAAATTGATTGTTGTCAAATTTTATTTTGGGGGAAAACATTTTTTTTGGTTGTTCTTTAGAACTACCCCAATCCCTGAAAAAGAGCCAAATTATGGCGCGTTTCCACTACACGGCCTCGCTCGGCCTCGCTCGGTATGGCTAGGCCTCGTTAGGACTGGCTCACTTTATGGCGCATTTCCATTACAGTTTAGGAACTGGGGCAGTATCTATAGTAAGGCAGTGTAGGCGGAGCCGTGACGTGATCTTCAGAGGACCCCAGAAAAACAACACAGCCGTTAGCTGTTAGCACTCAGAGCTCACAGCTCCTCATATATGTTCAGAAACTAGACAAAAGTTAAACAAGTACAAACCACAGACTGCCTGTGTCATGGTGAATACAGTCGCTGCTTTATTTATGTCTGTATAGGCCGTTGTTGTGAGTGTGGACGGTCGGAGCATATACTGCGTTAGCTTAGCCAATCTCCATTTAGAAAACAAGCATTTTAAAAGGTTTTTTCCCCTGCCGTCTGTCTGCAGACTTGACAAAGCATTAATTCATGGTTTTTACTAACCGGTATCAGTATGTTGTTACTTCGGCATCATTTTGAAACGTGTATTACAATTAAATCACGGTCAAATATGTCCATCTTGTTGTAGTTGTTGCCCCCTTGTCAGCGACACTCTCTCTAGTTTAGCATACTCAGCCCGACTCAGCCTCGTTGTCTCTGGCCCTGGACCCACGATTTTATGAGGCCAGAAAAACTGTGAATTAGGACCCGCCGGCCGGTACTAGGCCAAGTGGAAACGCAACCAAAGACGGGCCGCTGACGTCACAGCCCTCTTAAACCGGGCTGCGCGCTGTAGTGGAAACGCGCCATTAGACCAGGCCGAATATAGGAAAGGTGACAAAAAAGCCCATAACTTGAGAATGACCACTCTTTTCCTCTTCAGATTTGCTGAGGTATGAACCAGGTGGCTGTCCTACATCACCAAATAGTCAGACAATTATTTAACTAAAGAAATACTGAATTATAGTCCTGTAAACTTAGCTTTAGTTTAGACGGAAATTGTACTTTTGGTGATAGGAACATAGGACTCAATCACTTTTCTCTCATTTATCAGAAAAACAGAAATCCCTAAAAAATATACCATTACTGAATTGTCTAGGGTGCTATAGAACACTAACCAGTAGTTGTATGGAAATATCTGGTACAGTTCTATTGCAAATGAGATTTCTTTAGACATAGGCCTACCTCTTCTCTGATACAGTAAAACTCTGAATGGGGGAGAAGTGGCATAATAGCCTATAAGTTAAGAATACTCACTCTGATGGTCATTATATTTGGAGAGGGAAATACCAGGTGGCTGAACTACATCACCAAATAGTCAGA